AATAGTGGGTCCCCTTAGAGACAGAGCAGGCATCCAAGCTTGCAGTTCTTTAACTGGGATCCAAGTACTTTTCTTTCCTGTCCAGCCCATCTCCATAGCGTAACCAATCCGGGATCCAGATGTGGTTAGCTAACTAGAGTCGTCTTTTCCCTGTCCTGAAGCTGTGACATTCTCTGCATACCTGGAAGCTCTTAATGAGGGAGTCCGTAAAAGATGTGGAAAGAACTAGCTTCCTCAGCTGTAAATCTGTACCTTTTTATGGTTCTCTAGGATCATTCTGTTTTCTCCACCACCACTCTATAAACTGCTCCTCTCCCTATCCCAGTTCCTGGGAACTGCTGAACATAGAAGGCTAACCCTTTCTAGGGGTTGAGGGCTATAGGAAGGAAGGTGTGAATAAGGGCAGAACTTCTTGGTGTTGAACTGAGTCCTACTGCCATGTCTGACATGAGAAACAGATGGGAGGGAAGGATGGAACTTAGGTAAGGGGAAAGTAACTGCTTTTCCCTGTTCTCTTGTATGAGGGTCTCTGACAATGTCACCTCTCGTTATTGAACCTCCCCGCCAGAATCTAACCTCCCTCTCACAAGTCTAGAACTTTTTTGTTTTCCCCTCCAAAGGGATTGAAAATGACAGGCTTCATACCTTTGGGCCCAAGGTTTCCCAGCCTTCTCTTTATCGTTTCTGTCAATTGCCGTGTGTTCAAGTTTTTCCACCTTTCAGATTACCGTTAATAGATGATAATATTGTGCAGCAGCTACTTAGGTTCAATTCCTTGTTCCACCACACTAGCTGAGACCTGGGGCAAACTGATCATTCTGTGACTCTTTCCATACTCTGTACCAATAGAAACTGTATTGTGAAGGTTGCTGTGAGAATTAAGCGATAATTATCATATTTATGTACTTAGCACAGTGTGCCTGCCAGAGTTTACATGGTAAGTGTTCAAAAGATACGAGCTCTTAATTTTACTTAATGATTAGAGAACGGTGGGAGTTCCCCCCTACCAGGTGGACTAGTTTGAGCGTTTGTTTGTGTGTGTGTGGTGTGTGTGTAGGCACAGATATGCAGGTATGTTGGGAGTTTGGAGAGTGGGAAGAGGTAGGAAGTGTTCAGGTTTCCCCCTCACTCTCAGCACTGGCAGAAAAGCTGGCATTGTGGCCGGGGCATTGATTTTCCCTGTCTCTGCCCCAGTACAGACCAGAAGCTGGAAATGCCATTTCCGACTGGTTCTCAGCTTAGGGCCCTGACATCGAAAAAATGGGCAAAGGCAAAATATAGGATAGTTACTCATGCATGGGTGTTCGGGGATAAGGAAGAGATTTAGGGTGTCCTCTTACGCAGCAATAGGGGGGAAAACTATTTTTGGCTCAGGCCAAAAGCTGGGGATAGGTGTTAATAAAGCAGTTCCCTTGGGACGATACAAGAGTGTAACACTTGTCTTCCCTCATTGTGTCTTAACCTCAGTCTTGTAGTTGGTCTAGAGTGGAGCCAATCTGCTGATACAACTGAGAGGACAGGAAAAACATGGTGGCACATGGAACCCCCAGTGGCCTTGTCCCCCATTCTAGATTAAGTTAATGTCACCGTGTGTCAGACAAGATTCCTTTGCCACCCCCCATCCCCACCCCCAAATTTTATGCTCTGCCAATTTTGTGCTCTAGGCACATGGGAGAAATTTTTTACAGTGGAGTCAAAGAAGAAATAGTTGAGATGCTTAACTACACTTATTACAATGGCAAGTTGAATGGCTCCCTTGGTTTGGTTTATGGACTTTGGTGAAATTTTGTTGAGGAAATCTAGATCAGGGACTGCAGAGAGACATTAGCTGTATCATCTCATGAGAGCTTTTAGATTTTCCATTCTGTGGAGGCTGGGAGAGAGTTTTTATAATCTTTAGAACTGTTTTGGATCAAGCTCTCCAGAGAAGAGTTGTTCTAGATCCTCCCTTTCCTGTTTGTTGTCTGCCCGGCCTCCCTGGGGCTGCACGTCCCACACCTTCATCCCACATGCCTTTACTGTATATTTTCCTTGCTCCAAGGACTTCATCTTCTTAGTCCCTGAGGACAAGATTTCATCCTCCTTTAGGTTTTCTTCTGATTCTGGTTTCCGAAGTGTAAATATGGCGCTTGGCAAGGAAGAAGCCCTCAGCACTGAATTCTAAACTCTTTGACTGCTTTTATTTTTCTTTTTTTCAAGTTCAAGTGCTGGATTGTGTCATGTGACCATCCCAAAACTCAGAGCACCCTATGGCCATCTTCGCCCTCTGTCACATAACTTGAAAACTGCCTGATGGCCTTTTTGCAGTGGTTCCCCTCCGGGAAGCCTTGATCTCAGTGAAGAAGTCTTTTCCCGGCATTCCAGTGCCCCTTCAGCCCCGGCATTCTAGTGCCCCTTCAGCCCCGGCATTCTAGTGCCCCTTCAGCCCCGGCATTCTAGTGCCCCTTCAGCCCCAAACTTCTCCGACACCCTTAACAAACAAAGGCAATGACGCACATGGTGTAACAAATACACAAAGTAAATAATAATTACACTAATTATGATATGTTTGGAGGGGCACTGGCTAGGTCCACACACATCATAAGGTGGGAGGGGGTGCTAGCTCCACTGGGTCGCTGAGCTGTGCCCCCAAGCCTCTTTACCCCATGCCTCTTTGGGGGTAGGGAGGAATGGGAATGAGACTTCAACCCATAGGTTCATGTTCATAAAAGAAAGAACCCCCCCCGCAAAGTATTTGGTGGTACTGAAGGGACATATTCTAAGTGTCCCCCAAGTTTAAATGCCCCAGCTCTAGAATCTGTAGAGAGAAGTCACCTGACGCCTATTGCCCAACTCCCACCCTGTGCCAAGATCAAGAGACATGAGCATTTGACCTTGGAGGAGGCATCTTCTGTTCTTCATTTCACTGTTCCTCTCCTTCCACCAAGAAGTGTTGAGAATGGTGTAGATGGTCAGGTGTTTTCTTGTTCTCCAAATTGGAGCAGAAGGAGGGTTGAAGAACAGAGCCAGAGAGGAGAGGCTGGGGTTTAGCATAACTGCTCTGTGTGAGTAGGCAAGGTGAAAGGCTTAATAGCCCCTGCCCTTTCCTCTACCAAAACACCTTATTTCACTACGGAAATGGAAATAAGATGCTAAAGCTCATCAACATCACTTTCCCAAGGGTATCCACATACCTTTTCCTTTCCACAGGCTGGGCTAGGCGGGAGAGTCATGCTCTGGAGAAGAACAAGCCTTCCAGGTCAGCTCTCCAGCTTGGGGTTTACCTTAGTTCAGTACTGTTTGTCTCAGACCCATAACTGCTGGCTTTACTTAGAGTGATAATTATGCTGAAGGGTCTTTCCCCCTCCTCTCCTGACATCTTCTAGGCTCTTGCCTAGAGCTGAGGTCTGGTGATGAGGTAAGGATAGGGTGTGGATCCAGACTTTCTTCAACTCCTTGGCTTCAGGCACTGTCCAGCTGGGAGGCAGAGGGAAACTTGTACTCTGAAGCCTGTGACTCCTCTGAGCCTCACATCTCTTCACCACTACTCTGGTGCCCTGGTTATCTGTCCCACAGCGAGAGGTATTTTATGTCCATAAAGTGCCCGTGGTAAGTGCTCAGAATTCATCTCTTTGCTGTGGTGGGTGCTGCTGTTTCTCATTCCATTGAGGGGAAGAAACTGAGGCACAGTGAGTCCAGAGGAGAGTCGGTCAGGATTGTGGGAGAAATGAATAGGCCCAGCTAGTGACTTGGAACAGCAACCAGTCTCTGCCTGCTTCCTAGCTCTCTAAACCAGGGAGTCTCCATCCTTCCCACCCTCTGTTCTAACTGTCCCCTCCCTGCTGCCAGGTACTGCTAGATTCCAAAAAATAAAAGATAAAAATAATTACAGACATTCTACTCCCTTGTTCTCCCCCTTCCACCCTGAGCTTTGGGGTTGGGGGACTAAAATGTCCCCCCTCCAAAATCCTTTCCCCCTTGGTCTGCTGGCTCTATTCCCTAGTCCAGAGCAGTGATTTGGATTCAAACGCCCTGTAACCTTCAGCCTCCTTACTGCTACTTTCTTGACTCCTCCTAACCCTTCCCAGACCTGGGAACTCTGGGATGTCTATACTGTCTTTCCTTTTTATTGACCTGAAGATAGAGGCTGGGAGCAAGGTCATTCCACAGGCTCTTTGGTCTCTCTCTTGGCTGGGGGGGAGTGGGGGAGGTGGATTTGGGCATTAAGTAGGCTGTACCCTCTGGCTAAATAAGTTAGGACTATGAGGGTGAACCTAAGGGTTAGTTTAGTGGCTCTCATTATATTGATCCTGGATATTGGGGGCTCCCGCAGCTCCTAAACCCTAACTACTTACTGTTTCTGTGACTGCTGGCTTCAGTTCAACCCCTTTGGCTCAGGAAGATTGAGTAGGGTGATTATGGGTTGGAAACGTCCGTGTGTCAGCCCTCTTACCCTCTACTCCCATTCCCAACCCTGGAGGCTTTATACAAGTGCTTAAGTGGGTGGGTACTAGAGGGGAGCAGGGTTTGGGGAATAAAGGACAAATAGGGCACAGTGGGCAGGGGGCCCTCCTATTTCAGTAAAGCCAAATACCAAAAAATGAAAAGTCACAATAAATAAATAAATAAAATTCCAAAATCCTCATTTGCCCCTGCCCTCGTTTCTCCTTCCCTGGCCACTATCAGAGGGAGAGAGGGAAGAAGCTAAGAGTGTTTTTTTTATTTTCTCTCCTATTGAGAATGGTAGTCAGGGGATTTCCCCAAACTATACCAAGCCCCTCACCTTGCCAGTGGAAGAAAGGAGGCTTGGTGTGGGGCTTTCTCTTATTACTCCATTTCGGTCTCTCTCTCATTGTTTGTCTAGTCTCTGTCTCTCTATCCCTTTGCCTTCTCGCTGCTGCTCTTCTTGTTCCTCTGTCTCTATCCCTCTGCCTCTACATCTCTCTGTCTTCTCTCCAAACCTTCTCACCTGAAAACCTCAAACGCTCCCCATCCTGACCATGCCCCCTCCTTTCCCTTTCCCCCAAATGCCTCACCCCCCAACCACCACCTGCCTCCCTCTGTTGTATTGCACACTGCTTGGGCAGGGAACAAGGTGTGATGTTCATGGGAAGAGGTGGAGGGAGCTCTAGGGCCTGGGGGAATGGGGGTCAGGGCTAGGGGTCCAGGGGCAGGGTCTGTGAGGGAACATCCTCTGTCCCCCACCTTAGGAGCAGCCACAGCGATCCACCACCATGCCAGGGATCTTGCCGTAGATAATCTGCTGCTTGTCATTGAAGTAGAGCATGTTGATTGGGGACATCTTGGTGGGAGTACAGCAGGGCCCAGCAGAGCCTCTTGGATTGGCCTGTTGCACCAAGTGGGTGTGGGGATACTTTTGCATGAACATGTACTCGCACTGGCCGGAGCAGTAGTTGGCCTTGTAGCGCTTAGGAGCAATGATCCAGTCCCAGCCGAAAGCCTCAAAGTCCACTGTGAGGGGATATCGGCAGCAGCGGGACTCGCTTGAGTGCTCATCGCAGTCCAGGCCCAGGTTCCGCCGGGACCGTTTTGTGTTCTCTAGGACTCGAAGCTCCATGAAAGGATGCTGGGAGTGGGGGAGAGGAGAAAGAGTTGCGACATGGCCCCAAACTGCTCCCGCTCCCTGTTCCTTTCTCAGCTGCCTCTCAACAGGGGCACCAGAACAGAACAGAAACTTCTCAGCTTTTCCACTGATCCCACCCCCAGCCTACATCTTCTACCCACTTTTCTTGCCAGCTAGCAATCTCTCTCCTTCAACTCACCTTCCCTAATTCTTCCTCCCCCGGCAACCTGATTCTCCTCAGCCCCTTGGCCCAGGGCCTCATCCATGGTGTTCCCACGGATCTCCCATTAACTGACACCTTCACCCCAAGTCCAGTTTTCAGCTGTTGCCTGGCATAGATCCCTGAAAAGTGATAGCTGTTACCACCCCCTTCCCATTCCTCTTCTAGAATCAGCTACTGGTCCCAGAGAAATAATGCTGGTCCCTAGCCCCCTTCACATTCCTGGTATCTCTCCTTCAACATCCCTGCCTCCTCAGGACCAGGTTACACATATCTGCCACCACCTCAGGCCCCCTGCTCACCAGCCCCTCAGCTCCTGGCCCCAGGGAGGTGACAGCCAGGTCTGTTCCACTGGGATCAAAGGCGTTGATCTCGATGCCCCAGTTGCTTTGCGGCTGGCGGAACCAGCTGTGTAGCACCTGCTTGAAGTCGATGCTCTGCCAGTGGCCTGAGCGGGAGTGCAGCTCGATCTTGAGTGAGCGGATACGGATGTGACGCCGGCCTCCACCCCCTCCCCCTGTGGTCCCTTCCCCAGTTAAAGGTTTCAGTCGCAAGATCTGCAGGTAGACAGTGGCGGGGCGGGGTACAGGCCGTAGGTACACCCACAACTGGGCCTTCAGTACCTTTGTGAACATCACTTTGGGGCTGAAGTGGAAATGGCAGCAAAGAGGGCTGCCATCTGTCTGCACCGCAGGGTCCGCTGATGGGAGAGAAGAGGGGACAGCATCAGCAAAGGGTGTTTGCGGAGAGTCAGCAGCCCTGGGCAGAAAGGGAAGGGCCTGGGAGCACTGGCAATTCGGACTCCTCGGTCTGAGTTTCCAACTCTTCCCTTATCCTTCTCCAACTCCTGTCTTGTTGACTACCACGTTTCTGCTACCCGGTACAGTGCCTCCTACCTTTCTCTGTCGGATGGCTCTCTCAGGCCTTACTCACTGTCTATACCCATTCCCTAATCCAGTTGCCCTAATGGGCAGGTTCTCCTCTACCAGATAAGTTATGCAAAGACAGTTATTAGGGAATTCTCCCTCCACCTGCATCTTCCCCTTCTTCCAACTTTCCCCAGCAACTTTTTCTGAACCTTGATGTTCTTCACAGAAGCCACACTTCTTCTCATTCCTGCTGTCCTCAGGCCACCTTGCCTGGTTTCTGCTGTTTTGTCTGGTGGGCAGTGGAGCCTGGCACAGACCCCAAAAAGAGGTGAACTCAGAGAAGGGATAACCCAGGGTCCAGGAAGGGAGCGTGGGCTAAATTTATCCCATGAAGTAAAGCACCCACCCAAGCGTTTCCTGTGCATCTGACTCCCCATTCCCTCTCCTCTGAGAACAAGTTTCCTCAGCTGCCTCCTCATCATCACCACCATTACTGCCTCAGCTTTTGAGGAAGGGAAAAACTACCTCTATGTTCTTTCCTCCTATTTGCCCAGAGCATCAGAAATAATATTCAACACACCAGATCGACTATAATCAGTCTCCTTTTCTCCCCTGAGTCTCCTTTGGTTCCAATAAATCTTTATAAGTGTTCAACATCCCACCTTTACATTTTGACCCATTTCCCATTGTTCTGGACCATAAACTAACCCTCCTAGGGTGTAAATGATGATTCTTGATACCCACCTCTGCTTCCCTTCCAACTTCTCCCGATTCCTCTCCTTAATCCCTTAAATTGGTTAGGAATGCCCTAAATCCTGTCTCTATTAGACAAGAATATCTATTCTTACTCTAGATATCTAGACAGACTGAGAGAGAAGACTTAGGAAAGAACTTCCAGAGCCATATAGGTAGGATCAGGAAGTCCAGGCCTTTATGCATCATGCCCAGCTCTAGAATTCTGCATATCATGGAGGATTTATTCAGCATCTGTTGTCTCCCATCGCAATCCCCTAGCCCCACCACCCCAGGAAGACCTTCCAAGTGGAATGGGGAGGGAAGTGGTTAATGATCTCCATATATATATTCAGGGCATGATACACAAAAGTCCCCCTGCAGCTTCCTTTTCCTTGGGTCTTCTTTAGAGGTCCCAGGGCTCTGGTAATCCTCCCAGTTATCCTACTGGCTGGAGCTGCAGCGATGGCACAGTGGGCTAGGGTTTAGGGAGTGGAGATTCAGAGACTTTGGGACAGGGAAGCTGCTGGTAAAATGGGAAGTGACAAGTCACAATCCCAATAGCATACTATGACTAATTTCATCATAGGAATTGTCTACTTTCTTGCCTGTCTTTGTCATTAGGTACTAATCTTTGTGAGTACTGTGTGTTTTGATACGGTGTCTATTTTGCTCACCACTGTAGCTTTCTTGCCTCCCATAGTCCCAGGTGGTGTCCAATAAATACATGCTGAATGGATCCCCTAAGCCCCCAATCTTAAACTACACAAGCAAGGGTCTGAAGGTTCTTCCTAGCATCTAAACACTGTTCTTTGGTTGCAGTTGAAGTGGGTTTAATCACCATGGTCTGACTCATCATTAACCAGTATCTGACCTTACCCACCAAACTTCTCAGTGTGGTACAGATAATAATCCTTGCTTCATAGGAGTGCTGAGCATTAAATAAAGAATGTAAAAATAATAGTAACATCTCAATAAATGTTGGTTTATTGTTAGTTTTCCCTCTCTACACTCCAGAGAAAGGTATCACTTCTTTTCTAAGCTCTAAACATATCCCCCACCCAAGCTGACCCAGGGCTTGGAAGTAGGGGACTGGGCAACAGGGCCCTATCCCTGTCTTTGGTTCCTTTAGACAGTCCCCCATCCCCCCCCCAGGAATCGCCATTCACTTCTCCCCCAGTGGATGTAGGGAGAGTCAGTGCTGCAAGGGGACAGGACCTAGCGAGAAAAAAAAAGGAAGGGGGAAGAGAGAAGGGACAGACTAGAGATGGTGAGAGAGATAAGAACAGAGAAGAAGCTCTTAGGGATGGAGGCAGGTTAAAGGAGATAGGCAGAGAAATGGAGGAAAGAGGGGAAGAAGAAATAAGTTTGGGGGTTAGAAATCACTGGGAGAAAAAGGGGGTGATGGAAAGCAGTAGGTGGGGTTGGAAAGGAGTAGGTGGGGTTAGGAAGCTAAAGAAGGGAGGTATCTAAGCCTAGTGGGGTAAACCAGAGAAAGGACAGAAAGGGTAGAGAGAGAGGAACAAAGGAGAAGCAGGTAGAGCCACAGAGGGAAACAGGGGGCCCGAGAGAGTCCCCAACACACATATAGGCCCAGCCCCCTTGGGAAGGGGAAGGGGCCACATCTGTGTTGGATAGATGGGGTTGGAGGCAGGCAGCAGGTCAGGTTTAGTAGGCGGTGCTGGTCAGGAGAGAGGTCATTGCACTATTTTCAGCCAAAGCCCAACCCCCTCCCTATTACACCCCCCCCCACCCCCCCCCCCCCACCCCAACATACACTCTCCCAACCCGGACTGGAGGGCCTGGGGCAGGAGGTTGGGCTCAGAGGGTAGGGGCCTCTAGGCGTGGGGAGCAGTGAGAAACTGAGGGGCTGGGCTTGGCTCTCAGAAGGCCAGGGGGCTGGGTTCCCAGGATGAAGGCTGGGGTGAGAGAGCTTGAGAGGGTGGAGGGAACTAGGGCAGGCATAGCAGCCCAGGAGGGGTGGGGGCTGGGGTCTAGGGTTAAAGACTGGGGGAGGGGAGGGAGGGGGAGGGGAGGGGAGGCCATCTCTGCCGAAGAACACCTCCCCCGATTAGCAGAGCACAAGTCTCTTATTAAAGCGGGTCCCTGGGGATTAGACTATAAAAGTCTCTTTTTCCTTTTCCCTTCTCTCCCTCCCCTCCCCTCCACTCCCCCTCCCTCTCTTAAGAGCTCAGCCTGACTCTTAAAGGGGACGTACAATACCTGGCCAGAGACCCAGTTCCTTAGATATTCAGGTCCTGAGGTGGCACAAGGATGGTAGTTGGGGTGGGACCCCTTCTGTTGGTGCCCCCCCACAACCTCACCTGTACATGCATGAAGGATCCATTCACTTCCTGCATCCCTGTTACCAGAGCTGACTCTGGGTTCGGGCCTGTTGGTTAAGGGATGCTAGGGATAGAGGGGCAAGGTGGGGGTCCCCAGCACCATTACCCATCCCATCTAGGAAATCCTCACACACTCACACACTACACACAGACACCAGAGTGTCTTTTCCCTCTGTACCCTTCATCTTTCTTGTAGCAAACTCTTCTGAATTCCCCTACAACTCTGTTTCCTAGAATCCCCCGCCACCACCACCCTGCCCTCAGTCAATCTCAGGCTGACCCTAGCTTCCACAGTCAGAAGCCTTAAGAGCAGAAGGGAGACTGAGGAACCCAAGACCAGATCCCCATGTCCTCCTCCTCCCCCCTTAGTTTCCTAGTCTTTTGAGTTCTCTTTATAGCCCTGAACAGGCACTGTGGAGTTGGGAGTCTGCAGAAATACGGGTGTTAGTATGAAGCACTCAGCCTCACAGATGCACACCTGCGTTCCTGTGCCTCTCCCATGGGGGTGGGCCAGTAGGACTCCCCTTAGCCCCCAGGTTTTTATGACCCATCTGCCAATAAACCAGTCCCCCCCCTCTTCTGTTCAGAGCCATAAAACCAAACTCTGTGTGTGTGTGTGTGTGTGTGTGTGTGTGTGTGTGTGTGGTGGGGAGGGTGCAGGGGTGTGTGTGTGTGTGTGTGTGTGTGTGGTGGGGAGTGTGCAGGGGATTTTGCCAAACCACTAGTGAAGAAAAGAGGGCCAGGTTCCCTGGGGGGGGGGTGGCCGCGACCTCAGCGGGGGAGGGGAAGAGGGAGTCATCTGACCCTATGGAGAGCTGGGGGGGCGGGGGGGTGGTAGTGGTGGAGTATTGGCCTGGATTTTCCAGGCCATAAAATTTCAAAGCAGCTCAAGTCTATTAACATGTTCATCTTCCATTTGGCCAAGGACTCGGATGCCTGGGTTACCTCCCCCCACACCAATCTATTTTTTTCTCTTTTTGCCTAGGTCTTTTCTCTCCTCAAATCTGGCTGTGGGTGGGGGGGTGGTGAATGAGGGACGGAACATTTAGGTTAGAGCAGCCAAACGGGTGCTCTTAGCCGCCAGCGCAATGGAGTAGAGTTCTCTGAGCTCTAGCTTGGCCAGTACCGAGAAGGCACAGCTTTCCCAGTCCCTTGGGAAACTGGGTGTGCGGTGGATCTTGGGGTGGAAAGGCTGCCAGCTGGACTACCGATTGAGATACAGGGCCCTAGGATCCTATTCTTGTGACAGGGAGAGGAGCACTCGGTTCTCTGCAGCCGGTGGGCGCGTTTCGGAGCACGGGGTTGAGCGAGCTGGGGAATTGGTGCCAGGGCCGTTGGGAGGCAGAGCACCGCAGCCTGACTAGGACTGCGGGAGTCCCGGAACCTCCCGATTCCGTTCTCCAGCCTCCCCACCACGGTCCTTCAAGACAAAGTCGCTGTTACATCCCCTCCGCTGCGGGCCCCTGCTTCCCCCGACTCCCTCCAACAGGGTCTTTTGCGCACTTTGGGGGCGGGAGGCAGTATCTCGCAACCCACTCTCTTCGCCCGGTCCACCTCCAGGGACCGGCGTGCACACCACTCCGCAGCCTATCTCCACCGCTCGAAAAACTTCTAGGGAGCAGCCCCCGCCCCCTAGCCCATCAAGTTTTCGCGCAAAAGGCTTCTCGGTCGGGGCAGGCTGGAGCGCCCGGCTTCGGAGCGGGAGGCGCTCGCCTTCCCGGGGCCGGAGCCAGCTCCCCACCGCTCGCGCCCCGCGCCCCGCGCCCACTTACTCTCCTGGGCCATGCTAATGACGGTCTCGGTGGTGGCGTGGTACTCGTCTTCCTCCAAGAAGTCCTCAGGCTGCAGCGCGTCGCCCTGGAAGTCGTGCAGGTCCAGGATTTGCTGCAGCGGTGGCGCCTTGGGCAGCAGCTGCTTCACCACCTCGCGGCTGATGTTGGGGGCCTCCTTGAGCCGCAGTTTGCTCAGGATCTGCGACTTGATGCTCTCCAGGCGCAGCTCGCGGCTGTGCTGCCGCCACACGCACACCGGGCAGCTGTCCGGCTCGGGCGCCGCGGACGGGGCCGGCCGGCTTAAGC